TCCATCAATGGGCTGTGAGAGAAACTGTTGTGCATACATGCTTAACTCACAAGCACATGCTGATAAATTGGCAGTGGCTAATGCCAAATGGCAGGATAGACCAAAAAGAAATCTTACAACGTCCCAGCTCAAAAGGCAAAAGAGAATTGAGGAGCTACTCTGGGGAATCACGAGAGAAAATCCAAGGTTCAAAGCTCAAATCAGCTATCTCTTGATCTGCTGCAAGAGTTACCAATTCAGTCAAAAAGGGAGCATTTCAGGTGAAGTCAAAGATGAAAATGGTTTGCTCCAAAAAGAAATTGGTTGTCAATTCTCTCAATGCTCAACTAGTGCCTCCATCACTATCTCAAGGCTTGGTCCCTTCACCTTCTGATTGTACATTAATGTCGTTACAAACAAACACACTACCATACACCTTTGATTCATTGGCATAAGGAGTATTTATTTGTCTAAATATGTTTTAAAGTAAACGAATCTGCCTGTGTCTTCAAAACATTGCGCCCAATATGGAGGTTGATTCACAAGCCTGTTCGATTGGATGATTGCGATCGGCGAAGGAGTGACGATGGTAGGCCGATTCTTCGGTTTAGCGGGCTTCCGGGTGGCTTTGGAGATTGGCGGGTTAGAATCGCTGTCCTCGGGGCGGCCCGAGTCAACAAAGTTTCGCTTGCACGGCCGCGGTCTGAGTGTCAAACTTCATTCTTCGTAAGTTCGCGCGATTTTGCCACCATCAAGATTTGTGAATTTAAACGCGTCCCTCTTTGAATCAAAACGATGATTGATCAGCCATCCACACCTCTCCATTTACTTATTGCTACTACGGGGAGCGTCGCAAGCATAAAACTTCCGTTAATTGTCAAGACGTTGTCATTGGTAGGCATCTCTTCCATGTCCCCGTGTCCGAGGCAAAGCCAGGTGACGGGTGAAGTTGCCGTGCAATCCCATTTCTCATTCCATCTTTCGTTGGAGCAGTACTCTGGAATCGAGATACAAGTTGTGGCCACGCCTCACTCTCTTCACTTTTATGATGAAACCAAGGTATCGGCTGAAGACGGTGAGCCGGTCAAAGTCTGGAAAGACGCTGACGAATGGAGCGTAAGCAGTCAAACTGAGAGGGCTCTTCTGGTTTCAGGCAGCAATGAACGATGTGACCTAACCACCGTATGAACCAACTGACTGACATTCCTCCTTTGATTTGGTCCACACTTTACACACCTCTTACTCTCACCGGATCCATTCACGGCACAATATACATACCGTCTGGATGTAGAACTGGGACAAAGTATCAGACCCAATATTACACATAGAGGCGAGTTATCCAGAAGGTATTGTTTTCATAACACTTATAACCCTCCGCGCATGACGTGGCAAATATGGTCCAAGTCTATCGACACTCCGCATGGTTGTCACACGTCAAACTTATCCTTG